CATCCAGAATATATAAAGAACTCAAAAAACAAAGAAGAAAACAAACAACCCAATTAAAAGATAGGCTAAAGATCTAAACAGAGAATTCTCAAAGTAAGAAATAAAGATGGCTAAGAAACATTTTAAAAAGTGTTCAACATCATTAGCAATTAGGGAAATGCAGATTAAAACTACCTTAAGATTTCATCTTACCCCAGTCAGACTGGCTAAGATCAAGAGAACAAATGATACCAAATGCTGGCGAGGATGTGGACAAAAGGGAACGCTGGTAGGATTGCAAACTCATGCAACCTCTATGGAAAGCAGTGTGGAGAACCTTTAAAAAACTGAAAATGGGGGATGGAGAGATGGCTCAGCGGTTAAAAACACTGGCTGTTCTTGCAAAAGACTCAGGTTCAAGTCCAGCACCCACATGGCAGCTAACAACTGTCCGTAACTCCAGTTCCAGGGGATCTAACAGCCTCTTCTGTCTTCCTTTGGAATTGCACAACACAGGTGCACTTACATACATGGAGGCAAGACACTCATACACAAAAAATAAAAATAATAAAGTATTTAAAAACAAAAAATAAAATGAACCTACCATATGACCTGGTTATACCACTTCTTGGCATATACCAAAAGGAATCGTCCTATTGCAGAGGCACTTGCACTCACTTATAAGGCTTTGGTGCTAGGATCCACAAATGAGGGAGAACATACGTCTTTTGTTTTTCTGAGTCTGTGTTTCTTCACATAGTATAACAGTTTCTAGATCCATCCATTTAACTGCAACTTTCATTATTTCATCTTTCTTTACTGCTGAGTAGTACTCAATTATGTAAATGTACCACATTTCGTTAACCACTCGCCAGTTGAGGGGCACTTAGATTGCTTCCATTTCTTAGCTATTGTGAAAAGAGCAGCAACAAACATGGTTGTACAAGTGTCTCTACAATAGGATGAGTCCTTTGAGTATACACCAAGTAGTGGGATTTAAAAAAAAAAAAAAAGGACAAAGCCAATGGAAACCATCATTCCACCAAAGTTGACTCCATGTTGGCAAATCCTCTGATCTTTGATTTCTTATTCCTATTTTCCCCCCGTAAACTTCATTGTATATATATTTTTATGTAACCTGCTTCAAGTTATTTCTGGATAAATGTGTTAAAAACTGCCTCTCTTTGGAATAAGAAAAATTGTAAAAAAAATTTTTTTTTGTCTTTTTGAGACAGGGTCTCCCTGTAGCCCCAGCTGGCAAAGTCTATTTCCCCTTTAAAGACCAAAGTGAAATGTCACCTTCTCTTTGGAACATTCTACAACTCTCCTAAGTAGAAATAGTTCCTCTCTTTCATCTGTTTCCATATCCTTTGTTCATATTGTTTTTCCTTTAGCAGAAAAAATATTGCAGTCAATAATTTACACAGAGCACTTATCTAATATAGTGAGGTGCTGGCTTCTATCCTCAGTCCTGTAAAAACAAAAGAAAATTTAAAAAAATCAAATTATAGCTACTGCTTCAACCAAAATTAAATATATCTCAAAATACTACCTCTTTCCAGAGCACCTAATTCTAATTTCTTCAGAATATTTTTATTTGGGGCTGGAGAGATGGCTCTTGCAGAGGACCTGGGTTTGGTTCCCAGCACCCACATGGTGGCTAAACTGTCTGTAACTCCAGTTCCAGGGAATCAGATGCCTTCTTCGAGCCTCCACAGGTATTGCACAACATGGGGACACTTACAGGCAAAACACATTTAAAAATATATACACATATAAAAAGAAATA